CATCCTGTGCATAGGAGGTATCATGTGGAATACACATATAAACTGGCCCAGAGCAGTGCTACATTTGGAAGTCCCTGCGGTAGACTCAACCCGCCTGGGGTGAGACGACTACACAACAGAGAGGGCAGAGAATGACTGCCAGGGAAAGACACGGGCTTACCATGAGGGGAGCCGTACCGTGGAAGAGTACACATGTGGGATCGCCCGAAGTAGGGATCACTACACACGGGCACTTAGCCCAGCACAAGGGCTGACCTTGGGCATGCACATGAGTGCTGAGCCTGGTGTCTGGCTCTCCGCCACGCCTGACTGCCGAGGGTGCGGGAGGAACTCCAGCAGGGTTCGCCATGGGGAACTGAACTGAGAAGCAGAAAAGCGCACATATCCGGTCCTTAGAGCGGAATGGCTCAGCAAGCGGGATCAGACTATAGCCTCCACTAACCAGTGGGCAAGTCTTTGTTTGGAGATAGCCTTTCCCCTTCAGAGCACGAGCGAGACAGAGCAGAGCGAACCTCCTCCCGGGGCAGCGCTTGCAAGTTCACCACCTGATCCCTAAAAGGCGTGGTGGGAACTTTGGGCACATATCCAGGCCGGGTTCTCAGGACAACGTGAGAGTTACCCTTTCCGAATCGTCGACCGAAAATGCCTGCAGGTCCCCTACCCTTTTGACGGAGGCCAATGCGGTGAGGAGCACTGTCTTCAATGACAGAAACTTAAGCTCTACCGACTGCAGAGGCTCGAAGGGCTCCTCCTTCAAGGCCATCAGGACCGAGGGGAGATCCCAAGAGGGTAACAGGTGAGGGCGCGGAGGATTTAACCTCCTTGCCCCTCTGAGAAACCTGATGACCAAGTCGTGCTTCCCCAAAGACTTACCGTCTACTGCCTCGTGATGCGCAGCAATGGTGGCAACATACACTTTAAGGGTGGAGTTGCGACATGCGACGGGAGCATAGACCGCCCTGGTGATGTACGCAACGGTCGCAGTGTTGTCCGTACGGACCAGTACATGGTTGTCTTGTAGCAGCGATTTGAAGCGGCGCAGAGCCACCCATACTGCTTGCAACTCAAGGCAGTTGATATGCCACTGCAGTCGGGGCCCCGACCAGAGCCCCGCAGGTGCATTCCCATTGCACATGGCCCCCCAGCCCCTGGCAGAGGCATCTGTTGACACAACAACATGCCTGGATACTTGCCCAAGGGACACCCCTGTCCGAAGAAAGGCAAGATCTGCCAACGGGCTGAAGGTCTGATGGCAGAACGGGGTGACAGAAACCCGGTAAGTGCCGTGTCGCCATGCCCATCTCGGGACCCGGTCGTGAAGCCAATGCTGAAGCGGTCTCATATGAAGCAACCCGAGCGGCGTGACAGCGGCTGCGGATGCCATATGCCCCAGGAGCCTCTGAAACTGTTTCAGTGGAACCGCCGTCTTGCGCTGGAAGGACCCCAGGCAGTTCAGCATCGACTGCGCACGCTCTACTGAGAGACGTGCTGAGAGGTTGACCGAGTCCAGCTCCATGCCGAGAAAAGA